ACAGGCAAGCGCCACCTTACCCGCTAATTTTTTCTAGTTTTAGTTTTTTGGCTAATTTCTTTCTATTTATAGTAGAGACGGGGTCTCGCTCTTTCTGGTCTCGAACTCCTGAGCTAAAGCAATCCTCCCGCCTCCGCCTCCCAGAGTGCTGGGATTACAGGCTTGAGCCACCATGCCCGGCCCAGCAGCAGCTCCTTGGGCACAGGGGCTTAGACGATGCCAGTTCCTCTAGGGGCAGCAATGAGACGTATCAGCCACAGCCGCAGCGGCCTGTCACCTGGCGAGGAACAGTGTGGGGCTTGCCGATCTTGTTCCCCCAGTAGCCTCTCCGCACGGGAACAATGGAGAGCTTGGCCAGGGTGATGGCCCCTCGGATGGCAGTGGCTACCTCCTTGGAGCACTTAACACCCAGACCGACGTGGCCATTGTAGTCCCCGATGGCAACAAACGCCTTGAACCTGGTCCGCTGGCCAGCGCGGGTCTGCTTTTTCACCTGCATAATCTTCAAAACCTCATCTTTGAGAGATGCCCCCAAGGAAAAAGTCAGTGATCTCAGACTCCTTGATGGGCAAGGAGAAGAGACAGATCTCCTCCAGGGGTTTGGTCTTCACGTCCTTAACCAGGCGGCCCAGCCTGGTGACGGGCATCCCCGCCTTGTCTTCGGCCTCGGCCCTGGCCCCGACCACAGCCGCGACCCCGGCCACGAATGCCGCTGCCCAAGCCGCCGCGGACGCCCATTCCGGGGCCCCGGGCCCTCCCGCTGCACCGGCGTCATCTGCCACTTGGTGTTTTCTCAGAGAAGCTCTAGTCGCTATCTAAGAGGGCAGGGAATTTTGTTTCGTTCTCTGCTGTACCCCCCTGCATGACAGTTCCTTATTTGTCTTACCTTCCCATGCAGGCACTATTAATAATTCTACAGTTTTCTCAGTCCCTTAAAACAGGGACCATTTCCGCGCTGGTGAAGGGCAGGATGGAGCTCAGTCCTAGCAGACCGGTTCCAAAGACGTCTGATTTACTGCCTCTGAGCACTAATAACGACATTCTCACTTTGCAGGTGAGAAAGGTGCTGATTTTCTGGAGTCGCGACAGTCGGGGTTCCGAGTCGCTGTCTACTGCGGAAAAGCTTAGTACAGCCACACTCCGCGGACAGGCGCTGCAGGCCGCGCTCGGAGCGACACCGCGGCCGCACGGACGCAGCGCGTCACAAAGCCACACGGAGAGCACACCACGGGCTCAGCCGCAGCGCGTCTCTCTCTGGGGCGCAAGGACCCGGTAACTAGGGACGCTCTGGTCTCCAAGCGAGAGGAGTGGGACAGCTGATCTACGCGCCTGTGCACACTCCTTCTCTTCCGGGCCAGAAACCCTGGGCCACGCCCCGCTCCCTTGACCGTGTACCGCGCAGGCGCTCACGCTCTGACTCGCCCTCTTACAGAGCAGGCTGGGGACCTGCCCCTCAACGCTAAGCCACGCCCCGTCCCCGCCCCTCCCGTTGGACACCTTGAGGGAGGCCCGCGCCTGCGCACTGAGAGTTCCAGCGTCCACTCCCGAAGCCCTTCGTATGAGAGCGTTTGGCTTCCGGACGAGGCCGGTGGGTTGTTCTGGGTGGTCTAGGAGTCCCAGCCGGAGGTCCCGGGCGGCCCGGGCAGAGGGGAGGCTAGGCGGGCGGGCGAGGCAGGCGGCTCGGACCAGGATAGGGAGCCCCGGCCGCGGCCGCGGTGCCCGGCCGACTACATTTCCCAGAGGCCCGCGCGGCGCGAGAGCGGGGCTGGCGGGGCGGGCGCGCGAGGCCGCGGTTCGGGACGGGCGGCTGGGGCGGGCCGAGCGCGAGGGATGGGTGTGTGTGCCTGCGTGGGCGAGCCGGCTGGCGAGTGTGTGTGAGAGAGACAGACCTGTGAGGCCGGGCGTGTGGGAGAGACGGGCAACGGCGAGAAACGGGCCGGTGTGAGAGGCCGGACTGTGAGACCGGGGTGCGCCGGTGCGTGAGGGAGGGAGACAGACGCGAGTGTGAGAGAAACCAGCGAGTGTGAAAGACCGGCAGTGTGAGAGCCTGGGTGTGTGTGAGAGAGACAGACGGGACTGTCGGAGTTCAGAGTGGGAGACCAGAGACGTCGTGCGACGCCCCAGTGCGTGAGGCTCCCTGGGAGGCCAGTGCGAGAGAGAGACAGACACCGGCCCGCGTCGGTCCCCAGAGTGAAACCAGGACGTGTTGGTGTGAGTGCGCGAGACAATCAAGTATGGGAGGAAGTTGTGTGAGTGTTCGATATTGCGGAATATGTGTATTTGGTCTCCATCCCAGTGTCCTGGCATGCGACTTCTAAAATCCCTCTGAAATCTCTGAAGTAGTGAGTGTCTTTTGTGTGCTAATGACTGGCTGTGTGAAAGACGGGTCAGTGTGAGAGGCCTGGGTGTGTGCGTGTGAGAGAGACGGACCGAACCGCGAGGGTTCGGAGTGTGAGACCCGGGTGTGTCGCTGTGTGAGAGGGAGAGAGACCACAGGGAGACCGATGAGTGTGAGCCCCTAGGGAGAGTCAAGGTGGGGGCTGCTCACTGGAGAGACCAAGGCAGGATTGGAGGGTTGGTACTGTTTGCCCCACCTCCAATCTCCCGGGAGAGGAAAGGATCCAGGATTGCATAAAAGCCCAAAAGGATTGGCTTTGGTGAACTTCCGGATAACTGAACTCGTGGGAGTTCCTGTAGGGTGGGCCTCTCCCCACAGAGCCTTTTCCCGTGATCTCTTCATCGTATCCTTTGTAGCATCCTCTATGATGAGCTGGTGAACGTGTTTCTCTGAGTTCTGTGAGCTGAGCTAGCAAATTGAACTGAAGGAGGGGGTTTGGGGAACCCTGATTTGTAGCTGGTTGGTTAACAGAACAGTGTGGAACTTTGGGATTGGCATCAGAAGTGGGGACGTTCTTACGGGACTGAGCCCTCAACCTGTGGGGTCTGACGCTATTTGCAGGGAGTAAGTGTCAGAATTGAACGGCATTTGAGGACACCCAGTTTGCTGTGGAATTGATTGCTTCGTGTGTGTGTGTGTGTGTGTGTGTGTGTGGGAAGACCCCCAGACGTCTGGTGTTGAAATGTGTTGTGTTGTGAGAGTAGGGTAGGAGGAGCTGAGTTGGTTTGCCTCTACATCATCAGAGTTTCTGTGTCGAGCACTGGGTTGTGAGAATCCAGAGAATGTGGACCAGGGTGTGTCGGTATGAGTGTGTTGTGCCTGTGTGTGAAAGATGAACAAGTGTGAGGCTCCCTGGGGAGACCGAGCGGGAAAGATGGTACATGCGTGAGTGAGACGAGACTGGACTGTGAGAGTTCAGTGACTGAGAGACCGAGGTAGGTTGGTGCGAGTGTGTGAGAGAGGCCAGTGGGCATGTGAGACTGGAGTGTGTCTGTGTCTGGTCTCTGAGGGTGCGTATGTCCAAGTGTTAGAGATACTGGAGTAAGAGACCTCTGTGTGTTAGAGAAAGCAATTAGAATGGGAGAGATCAGGGTGTGTTTGTGTATGTCTTTGTGAGAGACTAGAGTGTGAGAAATCGGTGTCTGAAATAGACCAGGTTTGTGTGTACGAGTAGGAGAAAGACTAGTGATGTGGTTTTGTGTAAGACCAAAATGTGTGATAAATAGACTACATGAACCATGATATGTCACCCAAAAGGCTTTATAAATACAGCATCTGTGAAGTTGTGGAGAGTGTGCATGTGAGGGGGACAGAGATAAGGGGCAGTGAGCCAAGGGGGTGTGAGAGAGTAAGATTGGGGAATGTGCGAAGGTGCTTGCAAACCACCATGTGTGCTTTTACCCATGGCCTGCCTCAGACCGTGGTGTATGTGACTGTACATGGTGTGTCTGCCTTTGAGTGCTCGTGACTGTGTCTTCTGTGTCTGTGGTCCCCAACCCCTGGGCCCAGTACAGATCTGTGGCCTGTTAGAACCGGGCTGCACATTACCTTCCCATCATGGTCCGTTGAAAAAATATCTTCCGTGAAACTGGTCCCTGGTGCCAAGAGGGTTGGGGACCGCTGCGTGTGATCAGGAAATATGTGAAGTCTTGTGTTAGTGTTTATATGTCACTGTGTATGCTTGTAATTGGCCCTGTGTAACTTGTCTGTGTGGAGGGACTACTTGTAAGATTGATAGCATTGGATTCTTGGATCGTGGCTGTTTGGAATTGTGTGTTGCCAGGATGAGAGTCCCGGAATAGAATTCCCTGCCCCCAGGCCAAGAGTTTCAGTTAAAAGCAAGAGCTGGGGTGACTAGCTCCCGACTGGAGCAGGAGATACCCTCAATTCTGGATGACAAAGGAGAGAATTAGCCACGGGGCTGAGGTGAGAGTGAAGGTGGCAGAATTAAGTGCTAAAGTTTTCATCCTTCCAGGGTGAGGAAGTAAAGGCCTTGGGAATTTGGGCGGAAAAGGAGGATAATCCTGGCTTCTGGCGGCACTTAGGAATCAGATATTTGAACTGTAGACTGTCAAAGCGTGAAGCAGAGACCCAGGAAGAAAACGAGTCCACCTCTACCTATAAAACAGAGGAAATAACTACTTCATAGGATTATTTAAAAAATAAAGTGAGACTATAATCTATGCAGAATACCTAGTACATGCCTTATTTTTATTCGTAATAAGACAAAGAATGGGAAGGCAGCTTTTGGAAAGAGATTAAATTTAGGACTTTAAGCATAAGAAAAACAGTTGTCTTCTGTATTCCTTCGATGGCCATAGATTTATTGCCCATAATCACCCAGTTATATGAGTCCGGAACAAAAGAAAGCTGGGAGGAAGAAGGGGAAGATGATTTTTTAGGTTGTTGATTCTAGGAGTACAGTGAACACCTCATCTCTTACTATCCTTTTTCTTCCTCCAGCCTTGCCCTCCCAGGACACTACTGTTGTCCAAGAGAGAGACCAGGAAGAGAAGGCAAAAATGAGTGTTGAGCTAGTGAAAGCCATGCCCCAGGTTAGTTGACATTTCCTCGCTCTTCCGTGAGAGGCATTCTTGCTGTTTAGAACTTGGTAATGCTTCTTTTCTTTAAAAATTCCCTTATTAACAGTCTTGTCCAACAGCCTGGTTCCCACTTCTCCCAAAGGAGGACACTGTTCTTAACTCTGACTACCTAATAGGTAATATCAGAGTATGATGACTCATGCAGTCAAGGAGGCCCATCTGAGCCCCCTCTTACCACCTTATGCACAGTTTAAATTTAGTGTTGACCCTTGTGAAAAGATTTGCTTTATATTATATGGAATATATATATATATGGATATCTCAGTACCAGTGAGTTGGGTTCCAAGTTAAATGTGCATCCAATGCCTCCTGTACATTAGTGCATTAGGAATTATTCTTTTGATTCAATTTTTGTCCAAATCTCTAGTTATGTCCTTAAATTCTTAAAAATTTTTTTTTACATTTTGGGCATGAATTTCTAACCTCATTTGTTCACCTGAAAAAATCTTAATCCTACTTTATTTTTGCAAATTTTATAAATGTAAATAGGTGATGTATGCACATGGTACAAAACTCAAAAGATGTAAAATTACACTCTTGCCTTCCAGTTCTTCTCTTAAGAGATTGTCAGCTTATATGTCACTAAGACCTATGCTATGCCTTTGTGTGTATATATACTTCTTTCCCTTCAAAGTTAATGTTTTTTGTGCCCTGTTTGAGAAATCTTTGCCTACCCCTAGGTTCTGTTTTTCTAAAGGATTTGTTTTACCCTTCACAGTTAAGTTTCTAGTAAATTTAGACTTGATTTTTGTGGTTTTCTATGACAAGTGGGATCAAATTCTATTACATTTTTATATTTAATTTACATTAAATTATTACATTGAATATATAAGCTGTTGTGATAAGCGAGGTAGGAGTTTATTCTTTTTCTAGCTACCTCGTTGACACAATGGCATTATTTGAATAATTTGTCTCATTGTCACTAGTTTGTAATACCACCTACATCATGCACTAAATTTCTGTGTATGTTTGCTTCTGTTGCTGGACTACATTCAGTTGTACTTGAATTTCTGTTTTTAATCTTACAATTTAAAAATATATCATATTTGCATGAGTATAAGGAACTCTGAATACAAAAGGACCCCTTAATTTTCCCAGAGTGAAATTCCCCCTGAAATTTTTTCCAAGTGAAAAACATGCTTTCATGACATACGTGAGAGTCAAATGTTCACTTTTGAAACATGTAATTAAATTAAATATTAATATTGAAATTCACCTAGTTTAATTTTAATTTCTTTTCACAAAGGTCTTGATGGTAAACATTAAATAAAACACTGCTTTTCCTCCCCCACTGTCAGAGTTCATGAGATTCAAAAATATTTACGTGGTTTTGGGGCATCTGTGTCTTCCTCAGCATTAGGACCATTTTGTGAATTATCTAACATAATTTTCCAAAGATACAGAACTCTTGAGAGTTTGTGTGCATGATGTTGACATTGAAATTGTATCTGAAGTCACACTAATTAACACAACAGATGTTTTTTCCCCCCTCATATGTCCTATGGCAATAAGTTGGGGATCTCTACAATATTACTACTTACTGTCTTTAGTTTTGATATTTAACTCATACTCCTGAATATGTTTGGAACATTATCTCTTGATTATTTTAGTTTTAGGTATTATCTAGTAACCTATTGTAGATGATAAAGACGTAATCCATTAACAACCCCACTACCTAAAATGCACATACACTGTCAGACTTTGAACTTTGATTTAAAACAAAAACAGTAATAAAATAGTGTTCAGGGTAGCTTGGTGTCTTTCATCAGTTTTGGGGTATTTTCAACCACGCTCTTTTCAAATATTAGTTCTGAAAGTTTCCTCTCCTACGATTATGATTATATAAATGGTAGTTTTTTTACACTGTATCATATGTCACATGTGCCCTAATTCTCCAACTCTCTAACCTGTTAAACCTATCATTGACTTCTTTTGTTATTGCATACTTAGTTCTAAAATTTCTAATTGTTTAATGTAGTTTACCATTTTCTGCCTCAATTTACCATCTTTCCTTTTAGTTCTTTAAAAACATTAATTATTTTGACATTCTTGTTGGATAATTCCATTGTCTGGATCTCCTGTGTGTTTCTTTCTATTTTCTCATTATTTTCCTCTTGATTTTGTCTTATTTGCCTCATTATTTTTAGATTCAGTGCTGGACTCTATATACTTAAAAATTTTAGAGATAATTTACAGCTTTGTCTTCCACTTGAGTGGGTTTACTTTTTAAAAATTTTTAAAAATAAATTTATTTTTTAGAATAGTTTTAGCTTTATAGAAAAATTGCAAAGAAAGTACAGAGAAATCTCATACCACACCCAGCATCCCCTAGTTATATCTTCAATTATTATGGTACATTTGTTAAAATTAATGAGCCAATATTGATATATTACTAGTAACTAAAGTCCATGCTTTGTTTAGATTTTCTTAGTTTTTATCTAATGTCTTTTTTCTGTTCCAGGATCCTATCCAGGATACCACATTACATTTACTAGTCATATTTCCTAAGGCTCCTTTTAGCTGTGAAAGTTTCTCATACTTTCCTTTTTGATGATCTTGTCAGCTTTGAGGAGTGCTCAGGTATTTTGTAGAACATCTCTCAAATCTGATGTTTTTTTGTGATTAGACTAGGGTAATATGGTTTGGGGAGGAAGATGACAGACGTAAAATTCGTTTTTTATCACATGAGATCAAGGGTACATGCTATCAACATGACTTGTTACTGTTGGTATTAATCAAGGTTACCTTGATTAAACTTGAGGTAGTGTTTATTAGGTTTCTCCACTGTTAAGGTTACTTCCCCCTACCCCACTTTTCCATGCTGTACTCACTATGAAGTCATATGCATAGCCCACACCTAAGGAGTGGGAAGTTATATTCTACCTCCTTGAGGTCGAGGTGTCTACATAAATCATTGGAATTCTGTATGAGCTGTTTGCCTATTTTCCTCATTTATTTGTTTAGTCATTTATTTGTATCAGTATGTACTCATGAATATTTATTTTATACTTTGGGTTATAATCCAATACCACTCTATTTTGTTGCTTATTGTTTCAGCTTTGGCCATTGGGAGCTCTTTCAGTGGCTCCTATGTCCCACTGACATACCTCATCATTGTGAGTTTTGTTTATTGTTTTTAGCACTTCCTTACTTTTCTGACACTATATATCTAGGCTTATTCTGTGTATTTCCTGCCCTAGTCCTAGAGTGAGCCATTTCTCCAAAGTGGAGAGGATTTACTCTTGCTTTAGGCAGACAACTATACCAGGAACAAATTTTAATCTTAACCAAATTTATTGATATGATTTGAGGCTAGGCCTCAGTCCTGGAAGGCTGGGTTATTTCTGCTTCACCGTTAATCTTAGAGTGTCGGCCTTTGGGGTCTCAACCAAAAGCCTGAGATGTTTACCAGGACCATCTTTGTCAGATTACTGTAAACACCCCAAATTAACATTTATTGCTGTTTCTCCTGATAATGTCCTTCCTCGAAAGGTCTCAACTACTTAGTGGTGACAGTTTTATCAATCTACTCCTGCTTGTGAACCCTGAATAAAATCCTGCTGGATATCATCTCACAGGGGAGACTTTGGTAATAATGCATGGTAGAAAGCATATTTTGGGAAATCCTTGCCTTCTATTTGGACACCTCATTTTATAATGTGGAAGGGAAAATACCTATGACAAGTAGTAGGAAAATGTCCTATTACTCATCTTTTCCAGAATTCTCTGGACTGTTCTTATAAGTTACTTTTCCATGCGTATGTTAGAAGCAGGCAATTTTCTAAAACTTCACTGATTGTTTTAAACTGAGACTTTTTTTTTAGCAAATACTTTTTGAGGGACTTGTATGTGCCAGGTGTTCTTCCTAGATTCTGGGGATGTGGCAGTGAATTAAAAAAGGCCCTGCCCTCGTAGAATTTACATGCTAGAGGGGAGAAATAGACATCAATTAATTGATTAATATGCTTCAGATAGTTTAAAGTGCAACAGATAAAGATAAACTGAGGTAAGTGGGAGAGGGATCCTGAGTAAGGGAAAGTCGAGATTTCATTGTTTCTAGAGTGGTCATGGAAAGTCTCTGAGACTTTTGAGCACAGACCTAAAGAAAGTAAGCAAGTATATGGATAGTGGAAGAAACAGGTTACAGGCAGTGGGTCTTTACTGTGCTCAGGAAGAGCAAGGACAGTGAAAATGGGAAAAGAATAGTAGGTAACTTCAGAGAGGTCTGCAGGGCCAGACTATTTGAGTCTTTTTTTTTTTAATTGGAAAACAAATTCGCAATTTGGAATGGATTTGAGGCAAATTTTGCCATAAGCAGATTTTCTTTAAGTGGCTAAACAAAGTTTAAAAATCAAGTAACAATAAAAGAAAATGTTTGTGGTACAGGACCAGCAGTACAAAAAAATAGTGTAAGAGTACCTAGATAATACACCCGTTTTGCAATAGTGCAACTTTTAAGTACATATTGTTGACTGTCCATAATCCACGCAGAGTTAAAACTGCACACTTCAACAGCAACATGCTGACGGTTCCTAAAGAAAACAACTTTAACAAAGGCGTAACCCAGATGTTCCCTCATTTGACCACTTCCCTCTAAGTTTAAATGTGCAGAAGGGCTTAAAGGAAGTGACATGCAACATGTGTTACTTGATCAGTTTTCTAAAATGAGGCTTCAGAACAGTGACAGTAACGTAAGGGAAGAAAACATGGAAGAATGAAGTCGTAGTTACTATACATGCATATTTTTTGACAGTAGGGAAAAACCTTTTACCGATAAGTTACAAAGAAAAGGCAAATAAACAATTTTTTACAAGAAATTTAACACATTCTGTATAATGTCTTCACTTTGCTGTCATCATTTGTACAAACTCTTCATAGTTTACTTTACCGTCACCGTCAGTATCTGCTTCCCTGATCACTTCATCAACCTCTTTGTTAACTTCTCGCCCACGTTTGTCATCACATAGTGAAGCTCTCCTGCACTAATAAAGCCATTGCCATCCTTATCAAACACATGGAATGCTTCTCTAATTTCTTCTTTGCTGTCTGTGTCTTTCATTTTTCTTGTCATCATGGTCAGAAATTCAGGAAAATCAATTGTGCTGTTACCATCGGCGTCTACTTCATTAATCATGTCCTGTAATTCTGCTTCTGTGGGATTCTGCCCAGAAGACCTTGTTACAGTTCCCATTTCCTTTGTTGTTATAGTTCCACCACCATTCTTGTCAAATAGTGAAAAAGCTTCTTTGAATTCTGCAGTCTGTTCTTCAGTCAATTGGTCAGCCATGCTGCAAGTACTACTGGTTTCCAAGATGTGACCACACAACCACTCAGCTCACTCGATCCGCTTGGACTACCATTTGATTTTGAAGAAAATCATCTTGATATAATTGGGCTTTTCTTCCGATTGTGGACCATCCAAATCTGGTTCCTTAGTCCTCCTGGAAATCCCATAAGTTACCGATGGCTTGCAATAAATGCTTTTCTTCTGAAAAAAAGAAAAAAAAATAACAAGCTCTTCAAATGTTACTAATTGAAATTTACTTCATTGATTATAGGATCAATTAAAAAAATCACTGCATATTTCTACATACTTATAAAATTATCCATGTAAACATTGGTCAAAGTCTGGTAGTATACATGCCAAATTACTGAGGAGCAGGATCAAAAGCAAAGTGCTAGGATTATAGGTGTGAGCCACTGTACCCAGCGTCATTTAATTTTATAAGGATATTTGAAATGATGATTCTCATGGTTAGCTCAGGTAACTAGTTGGTGAAAACTGGAATTCAGGAAAAGCAGTAGTTCACAGGGAACCTTAGACAATCTTGTAATACTTTTATATGAGAAACATTTTTCTGAAGGTATTAATATCTTCTAAAGTCCCATATATTGAATATTTTTCTAAATTTGTTTTTAAACAGTAATCTTTAGAACACAGGCATGGTACAATGATTACTACTAATTAAAATTTCATGTTCATAGCTTTGTCTTTATATAGTTATATGTTGGGTTACTTTGCAAATCGTGCACTGAGATTAAGAAGATACTTAATGAAAATAAACCTGAAGATGAAAAATGCCTGTAATTTTTTAAATTCCTCACAACCTGTTGGTGATTGTAACTGGACATTGTTCTCTTAGCACATTCAGAAGTTGCAACTTTTTAATTTCATTGTGTTCCCCAACTTTATAATTTCATTTTGTTCCCCAAGTGCAGGTTCAACCAACCATGGGTCTAAAAAAGAGTATTCACCAGGTGCAGAACCCATAGATACCAGAGGGCCCACAGCTAGATTTTGGTATTCATGGGCCATGGGATATCCTAGAAGCAATACCTGTCAGATACCATTGGACAACTTATTTTGACTTGAACTCAAACTCAATATACAAACTGGGTGTGTTGCACTCTTACACTGGGTGATCTCCTACTGCTTCACAGCTTACTCAAGTTGGGCATACCAGTTTTAAATGGCAGAGCCTAAGAAAATTGCATTCTAAATATATTTTTGTTTAAGAAAAAAAAATTAGCCACATCAGTTTGGTACCCTTCCTCTTTGCCTCCTCCCACAAAAAACTAGGATCACATTTGAAAAATGTCAATTTAGGTATTCTTTTTGTTATGTTTTTGAAAATCCAACCACTGGCATATGTCCTTCCTTGAAGCCCTTGTTTCTTGGCCTGTGGCCACCTACCCATTTTTCCCCATGCTGAGAATGGATTGGCACCATTGTATATAATGCAGTTTAACACTTTAATAAGTTTTATTTTGGGTTGGATTTTAATATTTTTCCTTCTTCTCTGGGCTATTTCTCACATAAAGTAGAGACAACTTTGCACTTCAACTTGGAGTCATCTGTGGACATGAGTGTTGGTTGGTTAAGAATGTATTTTTGTCATTTCAGGACTTAGTGACATTTAAGGATGTAGCAATAGACTTTTCCCAGGAGGAATGGCAGTGGATGAACCCTGCTCAGAAGCACTTATACAGGAGTATGATGTTGGAGAATTATCAGAGCCTGGTATCACTGGGTGAGACTCTTTTTCTCCTGCATAATTTAGAATCTATCCTTAAGGAACTTTTACTTCTTTATTTATTATGAAAACTGCTTTTATTTTTGTATAGGTCAGAATAGAATCTTGGAAACAAAGTAGATGTTCAGGGATTGGAGAGAGTTTCAGATTTAGAGTCAGTGAATTTGATGTATATCATATTCCATGGGTGTGCCCTTAAGGTAATTGGGAACACAGGACACGATGTGAATCTCCTTAGTCTCCTGTGCTTTCCTTGTTCTCTTGGTCCTGCAAAATTATCATTACCACTAAGCAGTAACAGAGTTTATCAAGAATATAGCTAGATTATTATAAATTCAGAGTAGCCCTTTTAAAATCTATATCTTTTTTATTAACTTGTGGTAAGTAAACCAGAGAAACACAAAACTATGTAAATGTCTTCAGATGCTCACTCTTAGTGAAACTAAGTAGGGAAGGGAAGGGAAGGGAAGGGAAGGGAAGGGAAGCCCTCGGGTGACTTAGCTTTCTATTCTCTAGAGGCCCTGTTTATCATGCTTGTGGTTCACTGAGCCTCTTGAAATTAAATTTATATCTTAAACCTATTTTAGGAAATTTTCAGCCATTATTTCTTAAAATTTTTTTATCTGCTCTCTTCTATTTTGAGACTTCAGTGACACCTATGTTAGATCCTTTGATATTGTGCCCTAAGTAACTAAGGATCTATTTTTGGTTTCTTGGATTGGATCATTTCTATTGACTTACATTCAAGTTCACTGACTATCCTTATCTTCAATATTTTGTTAAGCCCATCTATGAATTTTTAAATTTCAGATACTGTATTTTTTCATTCTAGAATTTCCATTTGGTTCTTCTTATAGTTTGTTTCTCTTCTGAGATTTCCTGTTTCTGCATTCA